TTAACCTGTGCGGCTTTGTCTTGAAGGAAGCCGAGAGCCGATCTCGTACCCAAAAGCTTCAGACACCGGAGGAACAAGGGGTTAGTTAGGGTCTAGGAGTATGTGCACCGGTCGCGGCAGCAAACGCGTTACTTGCAATGGGTATTTCTGAGCCGGCAAGAGGTCGATCTGCCACTTGTTGGTACAGAAATTCTCGCCATAGGATTTAGGGTTTCGGGTTTAGGATTTGGGGTTTGCGTTTTGGGGTTTCGGGTTTAGGGCTTAGGGTGAAAAGTTTAGGCTTTGTTGCGTTATTGCCTCAGCAGAACGGCCGTTGAGGACAGCATCTCTTTCCCAACTAAAGCACACCCTAAACCCCCAAACCCTAAACCTCCACCCTCAAAGCTGCTGTAAGGGTTCCTCCTCGACCACTAATTCCTCTGACGCCGGCTTGCCCACATGCTGCTCCTTCTTCCGCTGCCACAGCCGGCAAAATAGCCTTGGAGTTGTACGCAAGAGCGAAGGACCGTAAGATGCCTGTACCGGTTGTTTTGCTAGTAGCGTTACTTGTGAAGAGGGATGACAGCGTGTAATGAGGGGATGACAATGTACATAGTTTCAGTATTGTAACGAAAGTCTCCGAGATATGGACTCAAGCTGCTAGCACTCGGATAGTAGACAGTGTCACAAGGTACCTAATGTTCTATTGGCGTGTAGGAGGAGGGCCACGAAGGTCAATACAGGGGCTAGAGCAACTACCAATGCTATTTGTGACCTCCTTTCTAAAACTGTGCTATAATCTACGCCCGAACCCTATTCTGATTATGGAAGCGTTTATATAACTGTAGTCCGTCTCCAAACCCTGTTGCTTTAAAGGCACCTGTTTTGAATTACGGGCTTCCAGTTCGAGGTTTAGAGCTGTAATCCCGCTGAGTAGCAGGCCGACGAAGAGCAAAAGGTAAGAGCCGGGCCTTCATTGCGGTAGGGCAGAAGCCTCTCATCAAATTATTGAGGCCTAGATTCTAGATGGTTGCCAAAGGCATTCCCGTTTCTAATCATGAAGGCCCGGTAGCATATCCGGAACTCCCCATTCACCTAATACACGGGTTTCTGAAACTTGGGGTCCTTATTGGATGGCTCCAACGGGTCGGTACCAGAACTAGGAGTGAACAGTTCTCCAAATTATGGTCCTTTTTCGGATCCTTTTTATAAAGGTGCCGTAGTATTTTGGGGACCTAGAAAGGACCCTACCTTGAAGATCTACCCACCTAGCTGGACATGCAAACCAGGCTGGAAAATCCTGTGCGTGGATGACTCCTGCGCCTTGGATCTTGGGAGTGGCCATGGTCTTAAAACTGAACCCACAACCCACAACCCTTCAACCCTTAAACTTTTAGAGGCTGTAGCAAAGTATAGGTGTTTCAACAATTTGAATAAATATGTGTTTTGGTTTATATCAATCAATCAGGGCTCTATGTTACCGTAAACCACAAAGCCTGTTTTTCACTTTTACTGCACGCGAGTGCCGACAATCGGCCTCTTAATTATGCTCACCCGCTTTTGTCCGGTTCGGTTTGAGGTTCTTCGCAAAGAGGCTGAGAAGGCTTCTCATAGCAGTGTGCAGACGACGGCGAAGAATCTGGGCAAAACTGCGAACTCGCAGGGTTGACCATCGGACATCTTGTGGGGGGGCCTCGTTCCCTATTTTCCGGCGGAGCGATCAGCAACCGCTTGAGGTTGCGGAAGCTTCGTCAAGTAGCTTAGTGAATGTCGAGGGCGGGTGGTGCGCAAGCAGGGCAATGTGCGTCCAGCCCTGTGGTTTCAAGCCGCCACCCTAATCCCCGCGACGAAGAGACCTCCCTCCAAGGGGCCGGTTCGAGACAGACAAAACCACAGCAGTCGGATGTTTCTGTTCGTGGTGCTTCAAATAAACCCGCCATGTCGGATGTGTTGCGTAGTGGTGCTTTGAGCAAAGCCGCCATGTTGGATGTTTTTTTGGTGGTGCTTTCAGCAAAGCTGCCATGCCGCCAGTCGTGCTTTAAGCAAAGTCGCCATGTCGGATATCTTGTCTAGTGGTGCTTTAAGTGAAGCCGTCACGTCGGACAGGGAGATAGCACAGGAATTCTCGTTTCCAGGGAACTGCAATACAACAGAATTACTATAAGATACCCACAAAAGCCCAAAGCCCAGTTATTATTGCACTAGCCTCTGTATCACAGGGAGAAGTAGGATTCAAGATGGACATCTCGTAAGCCTTGGTTATGTCTAGTATGCGCTTGAAAGTGATGCGCTTATGAACGACACAGAAGATGTCCTGCCTTCTTATCCTAAACCCTAAACCCTAGGCCAACCCTAGCTAACATCCCTGCCCCCAATCGCTCCGCCATAAGCCCTAAGCTTTGTAGATTCGATAAGAACCTATATAAATCCTTGGCAAAGTTCGTGTCAAATTCAACGATGCCGGAAGGCTTTTTTAAAAACGCCAATAAAATCTTCATTTCAGCCCCTTATAAAGCTCCCTTGATCCACCCCATAAAACCCCACTACATCCTGACAACAACCCTATGAACAGACAAAGTCCAGGTGGTTTCATCGGAGATCCAGTCCCGGCGTACCTTTTGTGTTCGTCTGGAGGGTGGGCGTGGAAGCCTGGAAGCCGGCTTGCTCCAGCATTTTGAACATACGAAAAAAGGGTTAGGCTTTAGGGTTTGCGTTTACGGTTTGGGATTCCTACTATGAGAAGGGAGCCACTCATATTTTCGGAGAGCTCGGATTGCGACCTCCCCCGCCACATGGCTTTCCGAGGAAGCGCAAAACTGTGCTGCTGGAGGATTCGGCGCAGGCCCTCTGTCTGAGAACTCACGGTTAGGAACCGAATGCTCGAGGCCCGAAAGCCCAAGCCCCAAGTATGTATTCACACATGGGGTATTCCCATAGGTTTGATTTGGGGCTGAGTGTTTCATCTGGGGATCCTCTTGTCAGGATACTAGTAACACAGCCTCGTTTCAAACCTGCGAAAGACTCAAGCGATCTGGTTCCCCGAAGTTCTGAGTTGTGCGATGGACACGCTTTCCAGGGTCCTCCTTGGACTATCTTCAAGATGCTCAGCGCGTAGAAATCTGGCTCTCAGCCTAGGACACGTCTCGGACTTCTCGCAGTGTGTTCCTGCGGTGACAAGCCCCCTCGCGTCAGGCACTTAGCCGAGCTGTTCCACCGGCCACCGGGCGGCGTGCTCGTGTCTGCAAAGAGCTTGCTGTGTCAGACTTTGGTTTCACTGCTTTGGATCGGGGATGTTCCCTATACCCTAAACGCTTAACCCATTCATTTCCAGAAGTTCTTCGACTTGGTGTAGGTGTGAGCCGGAAGGGCTACTCTCCCTTCCGTTCCTCCGCTCGGTGTCGGAGGGGGCCTTGTGTCGCCCCTGTGATTTCCCGCTGAAGCGCAGCCCCGGGGTTGAAACAACCCTAAGATCCCCCTAAGATCCTCGTCCTAAGCATTGCGGATTAAGGCCAAAATCCCCAAGGCCTACATAGAATATCCGAATCCATGCCCGGCATTTCGGTTTCCATACAAACATGCAAGAAAGCCCAGGTGCCAGTCTCTCGGCCGGACTCGCTCCCGCCTCAATTGGTGGGTTTGGTGCGGGCTGGGATTTCTACACTATGACCACCTCCGGATTTTTATTTAACATGCTACTATAAGCTGCTGTTAATTATCAACATTTGGACCCCAGGCGAAGTTTTAACATAAGTACAACCATCTCCATGTGGTCTGAGGCTGGAACTAAAAAGCAAGCCTCAAGGACGTTTAGCATAGGAAGAGCTGGCGGCGGTTGTGTGCCATCAACCCCAGCTGTGCCCCCACCAGTGAATTTTCCGCCCGGCTGGAATGCCTGGGTATTCCAGGCCCGCAGCAACCAAGAAGCCTTCGCCCACCCACAACCCAAACACCTAAGCCCAACGTTTTGAACCTTCAAGCTTGATCCACGCGAAAACCAAAACGATGGAACAAATCCAAGCCATACACCGTGCAACAAAAACAAATCCCCTTCCACAAGCACAAAAAACTACCGAGCAACATCCGCACAGCAAGGTCGCACAAACAGCAGAACCGCAAGATGCACAAGCGTTCCAAACTCCAAACACGACCCAAAACCCGCACAGGAACCCATGAAATTGCCCTGAACCGAAATACACCCAAAACGCTTTCCCTGCCTACGTGGCTGCCCCGAGGTTGCATTGGCCGGCGATTCGCTGCCTGGCGCAGCCCGGAGCTTGTGATGCTTTGGGGATTCTTGCCAAAAAGTCTTTATGGTTTCTTCATACGGATGTCGATGGTTTTATGGATTTGTTGATGTTTTCTTTTCTTGATGTAGTTTAGACAATAGACAAATCTTATTCTCTCGGGTTCCGTTTGTTTCAACATGTACGCCCAACGAAGTTTTTAAGCATTTAGACTCAACCCATGTATCAGGCACGAGATCTGGATCCATGTTTTGCTGTGTTTGGAGCACACGCCGCTGGTATGCGTGATAGGCAAAAGGGGTTTCCTGGACCCCAAGAATTTTAATTTCCTAATTAATAGAAATCCATCCCACACATAGATTACTTCAGGTCCAGGTAGGGATTATGGCTTGCGAACTGTTCCCACCACCTGGGTAGTTGGAGTGCAGTTTCTCAGAGTCTGGAATGCAGCCTGCCAGCATTTCACCACAGAACTCACACATTAGGATTCCAGTTGTAATCCTCACCAACGGAGGGAAGTCTGTTGCCTACGGAGGGGTTTTCCTGATTCGCATGTCTTGCCAGTTCGAGACAAAGCTGTGGTTACCATGTCTTGCGTCGCAGACGTGCGCGCGAGTGCCACAAGCAGCAGGTTCAGCTTCAATCAGAAGGCAACAAGCACGAGTGGTCTAAACACTCCAGTACCCTGAGCTGCACCATGTATGTAGTTTTAGCCGCCCGAAGCCGTAAGAACCCGCCCCGGCTTTAGCTCCAGACTTTGTCGGATTGTGAAAAGCTATGGGCACCGGTGCCTCGACCTCGCCGTCGACATCCCCGAAATCGGGCGCCAAGCCGGCAGAACCTGCATCGAAGCCTGCGGCGACGCCGCAGAGCAGCAGGTCGGTCCTTCGTGTTAGCTATCGGGGTTGGGGGTTTAGGGTTTAGGGTTTAGGTTTGGGAAAGTTCGGTTTGTTTTTGGATTTTTGGGGTTTTCGGCTTAGGGTTTTTAGATTTTTGGATTTTTTTGTTAAGTTTTTTTTTTGAAGTTGCGGGTTGTGGCAGTTCTTGGCTTGGGGGTTGTAGATTTTGGGATTTCTGGCTTCGGGTTTTGCAAGGACTGAAAAGGTGTAGGTCGTGTATTTCATTATTGGAGGCGTGGCAAACGAGGGTGCTCCTCTGTCCGAGTCCATATGGAAAATCAGAGATAGCAGGAACATCGAGGCCAGCCATAGCACTTTCGCGCAAATCTTGGCCATGCCTTGTATTTCATCCTAATCGAGCAGTTGGCGGAAAACTTGGTTGGGAACCGCTTGGATGTAGACTGAAGAGCCGAACCAGGATAGTGTTTAGGGTTCAAGGAATTGGGGATTTGGGTTTAAGTTTATGGTTCAGCTTTTCTAGTCTAGTGTGCATTCTGGCATAGGATGTACAATTCTATGCGTGCAGGGAGGGCTCTGAGGCGAGACTCGTGTTCTTCGAGCTCCCCTGCGGTCTGGTGTTTTGGTTTTGGGTTTCAGGGCTGAAGGCCCAATCTTAGGCAGGAAGATTTCCATCTCGTTGCAAGCTATACGTGTAATCTAGAAGCCTGAGGAGTTAACAATTAGTTTGCGCAGGGTTTTGTATTGTGGTTACGCTATAATAGTATAGCCGGGACCCTGTTCCTTTTCTGAAGGCCCTGTAATATCTTGTCCCTGAGTTGAGCGGCTTTGCAGTCGATGTGAACCGTGCAGGCTCTTCGTCGGCGCCAACTGGAAATGCAGCTTAGACACTTGGAATATTGAGGTTTCAATGAATGCTTCAGGCCTTAAGCAGTCAAGCCTTAAACCCCAAACTGGGGGTTACTCTCCTGTAGGTACATGGGTGAACTCAGAGGAGTAAGAAGCTAGCTGTTGCTAATGGCTGGGCGTCTGGCCCGGGACCTTGTGCATTTTGGGTGCTAGGGTTCTGGGATTAGGGGTCTAGACGTTCAAGTCTAGTGGCTTGCTTTCTTTGCATTTTTCGTAGAGACTCCAATATACCTTAATTAAGGAATATACCTTAGATCATATAAGGGATCCTACTATAATTGAAGGTAAGTTCCTTACTTAGGGGATATTGGAGTCTCTGGGTTCGTAGGTCTTCTAAAGGGCGTTGAGAGTTCAGGCGTAAGAGACTTAGGGCTGAAGGATTTCGGACTTCGGGCTGAACCCTAGCGCCCAACTCCTTCACCCAAAACCCGAAACTCTAAGCTAGAAGCCCGAACCCTACACCCAGAACCTAAACCCCGAGCCCACTACCCTACCCCAATTGAAAGTTCGAAACCCACTAAACCGAAGCTTTTTTGGGGCTTCCGGGCTTCTTTGCCTCACACCTCCCTGCACCAAGGAGACGGTGGAGGAGGCCTGGCGAACTGAACGTGGCTTTAGGCTTGGTTTATGTTTGTGTTTCGGGGTTTTCGGGGTTTCGGGTTTCAGGGGTTTAGGGTTTTGAGAGTTTAGGTGTTTAGGGTTTAGGTTTGGTCTTATGAGGTTTTCTTTAGATAAGTCCTTAACACGGTTGGTTTTGGGTGGTCACGGTTGGATTTTGAAGGTTTCTTGCTTCGGGCTGAGGGATGCGGGTTCAGTATAGTGGCTTGAGTAGTTGGGTATAATTGGTAATCGCATGTAGGTATGTAGAATCGAACCCACAGGGTATTGTTCAAGTTTCAAAGCCAGAGTCTTCGCACAGCTTGAACTTCATCCCGAAGGCCTAACCCTAAAGCGTGACTAAACTCAAAGCCCTAGACCAGAAGTTCTAGTGGACTCCGCGTTGGTGCGGCAAGGCAGGTTTGTATTCCAAGAGCAGCACGAAACTAGGATTCAGGGAAAGTAAGCGAGAATCACGTTCAGTATACACGTAGGTAACTTGGCGGCAAGTTTTATTCATATGATGGTTTGAGTAAACTCAGCACACTCTGGGAGGGTTCCCAAAGTCTGGGCACCAGCAAGAATGCCTGGATTTTGGCGAGTCGTGGCCCACATATTGCACTATTTACTTGTTTCTCAAACGTGGCCATGCGACCTCCCAACAATTTGCAATAACACCAAAATGCCCGGAGTCTTGTTGCAAAAGTTTGGGAGTTTGGGGAAGCTTAAATGGCAAATACTCACCACTGGAAATCTGATAAACACAGAATTTGCGAACTTTGCCAATGTCAGCCATTGGGAGTTTGCAAGACATGACTTGCAAGCAAACATGGTTGGATTTTGACCTCATTCTCGGCGCGTGTGAGCACGAAAAACCAGCAGGAAATGTTCTTATGATGCCAAGAAGCAGAATTGAATGGCAGGCCATGCTATGCCTGCAGTAAAAGAGGGCGGCAACTGCGCCGGCTAACACTACGCTCGAAGTCTTCAACTCTGAGACAAAAACCCTAGAACCCAAACCTAGAACCCACAACCCCAAACAGCAAACCCAACGCCTGAAACCGAAAAACCATATACCCTGAATCCGAAACTCAACGCACTCGAGCCCTAAACCCACCCCTGCCGATGGAGGTGGACAAACTGCTCGGCGAGATGGTCGCCTGCTTCGGCGCTGGAGGGCCAGAAGGACAGGATCGGGATCTTTCATTTCATCATAATGATAATGATGCTGATAATGGGATTATGGAGCGTGTACTTGGGGCTTGGGGTTCAGGATTTGGGCTTTGCGGTTTCGGGGTCTTCGGGTTTGACTTGAGGCCTTGGGTTCAAGGGTTATTATAAGTCTCAACGCTTAGGGTTAAAGTCGGTGAATTTGTGATTGTAGGTTTTAGAGTATAAGGTGTAGGAGTAGGGTTTAGGAATTGGGGCTTTGCTGATTCAGCACTTGCGGGGGCAGGATGCAAGGTTTCTTTGCGGATTCCATGGGGTTGTACTATTTGGGGCGCTGGCTTTCGCGGGTCAACAGGACCCGAAACCCAAAACCACCACGTTTGGACTTTGGGATCTGCCCCTCAACCGGAAAACAGCCAGAAATCTCTGAATCCTCGACCCTGAACCCTCAACCTCTGACACCTAAACCCAAGACAACCAACCCCATCCTAGCCCTTCAACCTCAAAGCTTTCAACCTTACACCCCATACCCTACGGTTGATGATCTAAACCCTGCATTACCCATAACAAGGAATATGCCATAATTCCCATAGTTTAGGGTCCCTTAAGGTCATGCAGGATTTGTGTCATCAACCCTAGCACGAAAGCCCTGAACCTTCAGGCGTTGAGCTGTGCGTCTTCGCGCCCTACGTTTTCATCGAGCGGGCCAAGTACACACTGGGGCGGCTTGGCTCGGCCTTGGCGGGGGGTGAGGTAAGATTTTGGTGCTGGTTTTCGACGCTGTTAAGCTTCATCTTAGAGGTGCGACATGTTTTTTTATGATTTTCTGGGCCTTTTGCAGCATTTTAGGGTTTGTTAAGCGTTATATTCGTTGACGAGTTTCAGACGAAGTCAACGAGTTTGGGATAAGGTCGAGCGTTTCTAGATTTTCGTTTCCGGTTATGGGTTTGGGGATCTCGTGTTTGGACTCCCGTAAGTTGGAATGAGATCCAATGGAGAGTTTGGGACAGCACGAAGCATCCATTTGGGAGTCCTGCCTTAACCTTACAGCAATCTAAATCCGAAAGTTTGGTTTGACACATATCGCAACCCCTCCAGTTCAACAGACAGTGCCGCAGATCTTCCAATGTCAGCCTGCCTTCTGCCCTCAAAACCCGAGGCCCGAAGGCTTAATATAGGCGCCTTAGTAGTTAGAATAGGGTTTTGGGTATATGAAGACTATAATTATAGTAAGGAACCCCCAAATAGTAGAGGTCACTATGAAAGCCCTTATAGTAAACATCCCGACGCCTAAAACCCCAAGTCCTACACTCCTATCCTCAAGCCCGAAACTTCCTAAACCTCTCGACCCTAGACCTTGCCCTCCGAGCGCCCAGCCCCAAACCCCAAACCCTAAACCCTAGTAAGCCTAAAACCTAAACCCTAAACCCAGACGGAAAAAGGGGTTCAAAAAAAACACCCGAACCCTAAACCCTAAGCCCCAAACCCTAAACTAAACCCTAAACCCCGAACCCTAAACCCGAAACCCCAAATCCTGAGCCGAAGCCCCACACTACCCAGGACAGGCATCCACGTTGGCAGCCAAAATGCCTGGGACGCTGCTGAGGGCTTCGCCTGCACGGGAGTGGTCTCGGCGAAGATGCTCAAAGGCCCCGGGATCTATGAGGGATCCTTTAAGGGTTCCTATAAGGGTTCCTATAAGGGATCTATAGGGTTTAGGGTTTCGGAGACTCCAATATTCCTTACTTGAGGAGTATTCCTTAAATCATATTAGGGATCCTACTATAAATTACGGTAGATTCCTTAATTAAGGGATATTGGAGTCTCTGATGATAAAATGACGATGTACGCTTTGGTGTTCAAGAAGCGCTGGGGTTCGACATTTCTCCAAATAGTAGGCTTCATAATCCATTCACAGCGGCTTGTTATTCAGGTTCTTACATTAGGGTCTAGGGCTTTGGTTTCGTGGTTGTTCAACTTTACATGGTCTTGTCCATATGATGATCGCGAACTTTGTCGTTTCTATTTCTATTGTCACAGTCTTTGTCACACTGCTCCAAGCATCGTCGTCACTGTCACCGTTAGTGTTGCTCCCATTGCTGATGCTGCGGCAGCAGCTACTTCTTCTTGCTATTCCTGAGGGTGTTGTTGATCCCTTTTGCTCTTGTTCCAATTCTTGCTTGAGTCGTCATTGGAGTGGTGGTGTCTTCTTCCACTGCTTTTCCACTGTAGCACTCGGGGCCAAGCTGTGGAAAAGAGAGGGAGAGAGTAAAATTAGATCCAGATCCAGGATGACCTTGAAGGGTTTAGGTTCACCTCTATCCGCTGTAGCAGTGCCCTGCCCCACCATAGTTTGAACAAGGACCGTAGTGCACGATCCTCTTCCGCTACGCTACTGTGCCCATTTGGTGCAATCACAATCTGTCCTTGCTACAGTAGGAGTTTTCGCAAACTGGTGTCTTTTGGAGGGTCTTTTTGTGGGGTTGTCGTAATACATACAGTATCCTAAATAGTAGGATGCTTTTTGGCTTTTTTGTAAGGACTCCACAATAAGGTACCCCCTAATTTTGGGAAACTCCCATACTGAAACCCTACACAAACCCTTTCGAATCTAACCTGCAGCCGGAAGCGGTGGGCGGTCCTTGTTCTGCTGCCTTACTCATTACCTATACTTACAGAAATTTTGGATGCCAAAACCCTATTCTAATTATTAAGGCCCCTATCTTATATTACCCTTATATACATCCCTTATGAGAACCCTTAAAGGACCCCTATTCTAATTATCAAGGCCCCTATGTTGTTCAGGATTCCATGCTCGTCAGGACAAGAGGCCCTTTTTCGATCATTGTCTTTCGAAGCAGGGTCGGGGGGTACTTGGAGGGTCGGGGGACTTAGTAAGTAGGTAGTAAGTAGACCTATAAGTACCTAAAAGGGACCCTCATTCGGGGTTATGGCCCCGACCCTCCAAGTATTTCCCTAAACACCAAGCGACAAACTCCATGCTCCGTACCCAAACGCTTCAACCCCCAAACCGAAAACTCTATACGATATGCGTCTTTACAAGCCCCTAAACCGCCCGCAGGGTAAGAAATTCATTCTGCATCACTGAAAATGCCTGGGCAAGGAATCGGCTGCCGGTGGGTCCTACTCGGGCACTCTGACCGGCGCAACTCAGTGTGCACCAGTGGTGATGGTGGTGGAGTGGGGTTTCAGATTCTGGGTCTACGGGTTCAGTCTTTCTGCCGGGCTTTTGGGAGACAGCTTTGAGTTCCCTACACCCCTACACCCCCCAAACCCTTAAACCCTGAATACACCAAGTCTGAAGACCGCAACCCTTCCTGTAGACCTTAACGTCCTCAAGCAAGGACCTCCCAACTCGACACCTTTGGGCTTGAGGCTCGCGGTTTAGGGCTTCGGGGCGGCTAAACTCAAGGCTTAGGCTTTGGGGACGAGAGTTTGGGTTCGATCCTTCGTCGCGAGGTTGAGGCGCCAGTATGTAGGAGGCCAAAGAGGCTGAAACCGAAATCCCTCAACCCAGAGACTCCAATCGCCCTTAGTTAAGGAGTATACCTTGCATCAAGTTTTGGGATCGTACTATAATTTAAGGTATGTTCCGCAAGTGACGGATGTTGGAGTCTCTGGGAACCCTAAACCCTAAACCCACCGCTTTCCCTTGGAGGGATTGTGCATGCATCTGCAGGCGGAAAAAAGCTTTCAATTAAATCTAAACCCCTCACCCGCCAACCCCTAAACCCTAATCCCCCGAAAGCCCCACTAGTAAACCCCGGAACCCTTCAACGCTCCATCCCCGGCGCAATAAACACACTGCAAGGCGGTTTAGGGTTCAGGGGTCAACGGCCTGAAGTGCTGAATCACTGAAGGATCCCCGAATCTCGCAGCCTTAGTAGCTTTACAATAATAATATTAATTATTATTATTACTATTATTATTATTAAGAACAGTGGTATTAAGTAAACCCTAAACCCTAAACCATACTAAGGAGCCCTGGGGAATAGCATTAGCTTATGTCTCCAGGCCCCGGTGCTGCTTTTCGGCCCTGGGCTGAGGCAACGTCCTGGGCGAAACGGACGTGCTGATTAGCGCGAAAGTCAGGCGGCGGGGGCCTGGTTTGAGGGTTTAGTCTGTGTCGGGGGTGTGTGGTTGGGGGCACCTGATTGAGGGCCTCTATAATTATAGTAAAGATCCTACTGGTTGGGTCGCCTTTATCAGGAAATTCCCGTCTAGTGCTTGCCAGAGTAGGCTATCGTAGTTGAGGCCGCTGAAGGCATGTAGGGGTGAAGAAGGTTTCCGGCCGATGCCCTGGGTCTCAAGCCCTGATATAGGAGTCTTAAAGTTAAAAGCGGTCATGGGGTATAATATAGTACTGTATACTAAGATACCTTAGAGCATTGTTAAGTAGTCAAGCCGCTTTGGGAGTTTCAGAAGATAGGGGACCCTAATATAGTACCATAAATAGTAGGATCCTTGTCATAAGGATCCCAAGATAAGGTACCCCTAAGTTTCGGAAACGCCCATATACCAAACGGATGTTGCCTGGCGCGGGGTTGAGGTTGGCAGGTCGGGTTGGGATGTAGGGTGTGCTCTGGGCTTGCTCATTAGGGCCTAAGCGCTGTTGCCCAAGGTTAGCCAGGTAAGGCAAGAATAAAGTAGCTCCCGATGAAGCACGACCTGACTAACACCGAGGTTTCTAAATCTTAGACCTCTCAACCTTCAACTTGTACAAAAACCCCAAACCTTAAACACACGAGCCTGCGAACCCATGTAAAGGGGTGCAGAAAACTTTATTAAACACCCTGAAACCACCAAACCCTAGAATTTTGCTGCAGAGGCAGTGCCTGGAAGCCGGCCTGAACGTGAACATCACGATGCCTGGTCGTTAAGATGGGTACTGACTATAAGAGTGAAGAGGTCTTTTGGGGATCCAACACGGGGCCTCGCATTTTCGGAACTAGTCGATTTTAATCCTCATCCCAGCTTTAATTCTAAGCTCCTGCGCTCCCGAAATTCCCTAAACCCTCGCCCTCTCAAGTCCTACACGCATTAAATACCCGAAACTCCCCAAACCGCCCAAACCCCCAAACCCCTAAACCTTCAAGCCTAAACCCTCAACCCTAAACCCCAAAACCCCGAAACCCCTAAACCCCTCAAACCCCACATGGTAGCATAGAGTCTTATGCCCCAAACCCTAAACCCCTCAACCCTAAACCCTAAACCCCTTAAAGAAACCCTAAACCCCTTAAAGAAACCCTAAACCACTTACAGAAACCCTAAACCCCTTAAAGAAAAAGAGCCCGAGCTCAGGATCGGTGAGAAGGCCGAAGCCCGGAGCGCCGGGGAGGAGCGGCCCCCGCTGGTCTTTGGCTTTGGGGCCTTGAGGTTTTCGTGTAGGGTTTAGGGTTTAGGGTTTAGGGTTTAGGGTTTAGGGTTTAGGGTTTAGGGTTTAGGGTTTAGGGTTTAGGGTTTAGGGTTTAGGGTTTAGGGTTTCTAGGTATGTATGCATGTATATGTATATGTATATGTATAGGTATACGTATATGCATAGGTGTAGGTGTATGAGTTTTCGTATAGATAGAGGTATAGGTATAGGTATGCGTATAGGTATAGTTATAGACATAGGTATAGGTATAGGTATGTATACATACACGTATATGCATATAAACATATACACATGCGTGTGCATACCTCTCAGAACGGATACACCCACATATGTTACGTATGTGTTCGCCGACCACAGGCAGATAGATACATAGATTGAGAGATGTTACAGAGGCTTTTAGCTTGAACGTATGCTATCCATGGCTTGATAGTGGGATGTAGTGGTGTCAAATGGCTTACAAGGTTCATGCGTACGTAGGCGTAAATCCTGAAGCCTGAACCTGGGATCCTAAACCTCAAACCCTCGACCCTAAACCCTAAACCCCTAACCCTAAGATCCTAAATCCTGAAGCTTGAACTCTGCAGCCTAAAGCCTAAAACTGTGAAGTCTATGCTCAAAATCTCGCTCCTAGACGCTCAGCCATGAACAGCCGTAAATCGATCAGCCCCAAAGCACGACTTCAGCTTTAGCTTCAACTGAGAGCTTATAATTGATACTGGCCGGTGCAGGAGCTGAAAGTGCTTCAGGCCCGGTGGGTTTTGGGATGGAGAGTTTCGAAGGTCTAACTCCCTTGTCGAGCGTAGCGCTTGGCTGGAGCTGCTAGCGCTTGCGACTTCGGGCACGTTGCTTGATGAAGGGATTTTCGAATCTCTGCGGGGCTCTTGTGGATTGCTGTCCTTTTCACAGGGTTGCTTGGTTTCAACGTCGGTTCAGGGGAGCGTGGCAAGAACGGCTATAAGGCGATACATCAGGTCGTTTAAGGAAAATATAGGTGCCTTAATAAATACCTTTACCATGTTTCGGGGTTCCTTATAAATAACTGTAGTACAATACACCCCGAAACCTTAATTCAATTATTAAGGCCCCTACATTATATGCACCCTTTCAGCCTGCTTCCTTCGGCCATGGACACCCCAAAGCCCAAATCCCAAACCGAGACGAAATCTTGATAGCTTAAGCCCAAGACTAAGCGCAAGCCGCAAACCTAAAACACGCCTTGAAGCGCTCACGCCTAGAGACAGCGCGTAGGCCCGAAACATCCCCAAACCAAAAGCTCCCGAAGCCTTCAATCCAACGAGCAGGGCTTTTTTTTTGTGTTGCTCCCTCACAGTACAGGCACAGCTGGGGGAGGCAGCCAAAGGTGTGCCGGCGGATGCCTGGGGAAGGCTGCTCGGGTGTGAAAGCATCGGGTTTAGAAGAGAGGGGAGTTTTAGGGTTGAGGGTTTCGAGTGTAGGTTTTCTAGGAATCCAAAGGCTCTCGGTCCCCTGCCACGTTCCGACCTATGCCAACCGTGCCCACGACTGCCAACCTGGGAATATGCCTGCTTAGGGGTCCGCTTGCTTTTGGGCAAGGATGACAATCCACATGTTCCTCACAGTTTCATGCGCCTTGCACGAAGAGCATCGCGAGTCTGTCCGCAGCTCTCTGTGCTTCGAACGACAAAAAAAGTGCCACTCGTGCCGCGCAAGAGAAGCCATGCAGCTTCTCCTCTTGCTTTGCCTTCTCCAAGGATCGGCCCCTAAACTGCGTCGAGTGAGGATCGAACTCACGACCATGGCCGTTCTTAGTTGGTGGAGCGTTGTGTTGGTTAATTCCGGTAACGAACGAGAGTCTGGCATGCTAAATGAATTTCGTCGCCAAGTGTTTCGCTTCGTGACAGTCCGCATGACCGATTGCATAAATGAGTTGGTGAGAAGCCCGGCTCGCTCGGTCTGGAGTCGGGCGCGTGTTGAATGCGAGTGCCCTAGAAACCAACTTCATAGCGAAATTTCTAGATACGAACTTGTTTGTTGACACGGGCCACGAATTTTTCGCTCAAGAGCAGACTCGCAATTTGTCGGTAGAGCGTTAGCTCTTATTTGCATGCTCACCTAGGAGTCGCGCCTCCGTCTTGCAGCCAGTGTCCCGAAATCCCGATGTGCCCATGTTCGCGAGGAGGATGACTTCGTAGCTTGTCGCACATCTGCTGTGCAGTATGTCCCTCCAGTTCGGGGTGTGCAAGAAAGCACTCCTGCTTGCAGCCATGTGACCTTGCTCCTGGGCAGAGCCGCATCTCTGCTGCCTCGTCTTCCTTGCGGCCAGTTTGTGCACCGTCGCCCCTGAGCTCTTCTTCGCCACAGTCAGCCAGACGGGGCTGCACATACTCCCGGCGAAGTCCCACTGACGATGTCAGACCCATCTTCCACTTTGACTGATCGTGCGCCGCCTTTGCAGCAGCCAACCGAACCGAGGTTGCGAAAGCGGCATCCGATGATGTCAATATCAATAAGGCCCTGGACTGCTCCTCAGAAAGACGTCACGCCAACTTTGCACACCTCGTCGGGGCCGGTATTTGTGATGGAGATTGACTTTAGAGTGTGCCGCCTCGCGGCGGGGCAACCCAACACACATCCACCCCGCTGTTGCGTGCCGGCTGTGCCGAAACGTGCGCAACTCGTGTATAGTCTGTCTGTCTTGATCTGTGTTGAACCGACGTGTGTGCATCTTTGTTTGCTGCGCATGCAGCCGCAACCACAGATCGTGAGCTGCCGATCAACCTTCCCAGTTTCTGGCTTGGAGTTTCTGAGTTCAGACCAGACCACCGCCACCACCACCAAGCGCAAACTCCTGGTTGTACGTGCCCCGTCTGCGGACAGCAGCAGCTCCATGTGGGAACATGGGTTGCAGTCGTTGTGCACTTATCCACGTTTCGGCCAGATTGTGCTGGGCTGCGCATTGCTACAGTCTTGCTCGTCTGCAATAGCTCCTGTCGCAGATGTTCCGCCCCAAATGCGCACTTCCTGGATCTATTTGGGTTCTGGACCAAAGTTTAGTTAGCGCTTACAAGGTTGTACGATTTACAATGGTGTTGCAACGGGTTTATGGGCCACAAGCCGAGGGTTTAGGGCTTGGTCTTTCGCTTTAATTAAACGGATGTAGCGTTTAGGACTTTGTTCCACACTGCCCGAGTAGGTTTCCTGCTTTAAGCCTTTGGCCCTCAGCCACAAGTTCAACGGCATACGCTGCGCTAGAGCTCACCTTTGGACTCTTGAAACCCGCCACAGCATACCCGCAATCCAAACAAGCTTGTCTTTGCATCAGACCCGAAGCTTTCGGGACGTCCAGTTTTTGGGCGAAGGGGTGTGGAATTGGAGGATTCCTTGGTCACTTCACAAACCAAAACATCCTTAACCAGGATCCAGCCCCAAAAGGCCCGAACTCCCAAGATCCAAGGCCGGAAAGACGAAAAGGCACAAACTGCGAGCCAAAAACACGAAACGAGCCTATAAGCAATGCGATCAAACAGTCACTGCCGAACTCCAAAAAACCCGTGTAGAACCTTATGAGCGCTTGGCACATCGCCAAAACAACTTCAACCCTGCAAGCCCTCATGGCCACAGAACCCCAAATCCTCAACACTAAAGCCGGTCGAAACTTAAAACTTAGAGCCCAACCTAAGAAGCATCCTGGAGCCGCTGGAGCCCCGAACCCTAAAGGCTTTGGTTAGAAGCATGAACAGTTGCCTGTCTTCTTCCGCAGGGTTCCTTACTGGAATCTTGGCCAAAACCCTATTTTATTCATTCCTCTCCCCCCCCCACTACAGGCCCCTTAAAACCATGGAAAGCCCATATCGCTCCTTGCCGAGGGTTGCCGTAGCCTATGAGCCGGTCTGGGCTGTGGGCGAGGGCGCGACTCCATGTCAGCCGGAGGAGGCTAGGGTTGAAAGCTGCTTCGGGCAAAACGCTGCTGATTCAGTCCTTGAGGCAAAAAGGGGTAAACCACACCTGGAAACAACAACCTCTGGCGAGGGATTGTTACGGGCTTGTAGTCTCCGTTCGTTGTTCCAATTTGGTTACCTGTGAATCAACTCCTTCTATGCGACAGGTGGTTTTGATTCTGCAACCGGCCTCTGCAAGGGGAGTCTACACGGAAAGACATCCCAGGTGTTTTTTCGAGCTTGTTCCGAGGTTGACAACCTTAAACCGCAAACCGCAAACCTCAAACCTCGAGACCCGACAGTTTGAGATTGTGGCCGCAACCAGCAGTCATGAAAGAACAGGAAAAATAAAGTGCAAATCCTGAACCCCGTGACCCTCGACACCCTAACCCTAGCCCTGGAAAACCTCCAACAACCTATATCTCAAAGCCCCATAGACTCTAAACTCTAGACTTTAGCCGAAATCTGAAACTCTTAGCCTCATGACCTGTAAACCCTCAACTCCTAAACGCCCGAAACCTTAAACCCAAAACCCCAATCCCCCAAACCCTAAACCCTACACCCCAAAACCCCAAAACCTTGCAAA